TTCACCCCACCTCCTGAGAAGGAAGGAGCAGCGAGCTGACTGTAACCCCCATCCCCTGCCCCTGCGCCTCTGGGGGAGGAGGTAGAGATACTGGGAGCAGAGCTGAGCCGGGGAAGAAGGGAGGGGTGGGGGGAGGTGTTTTTGGACGTGGTGGTGCTTCTTATTGTCCCCACCTTGTCTGTTAAGTGTTGTTTTTGTTAGTGTTTGAATTAAAGTGATGTTCTTTTTCTCCCGCTAACAAGTCTGTCCTTTGCCCATGACTGTAATGGGTGAGTCGTCCCTCCCTGTCCTTACCTTCATTCACAAGCCCTCCTTCCCATTCCTGAGGGGGAAGAGGTGATTGAGCAGCTGCATGGTGCTCAGCTGGTCTCTGGGGTCAAACCAAGACATCTGCAGAGCTGTTTCTCTCACACCTCACTCCCCTCCTCTGCTCCCCTCCCCTTGCCCAGGGGGTTCTTCACTGTCTTAAATACATTTTTGCAGAGGTGCAGCTGCCGTCCCTAACTGGCTCGGCCTTGGCACAGAGGTGGTTTCGACTTGGAGCCAGGGGAACTTCTAGAAGATTATCCACATGAATTATACTCTTACATGAATAACATTTATGAAGAATTATGACTCTTCTGGACTCCACTCCCAGAAGTGTCTGTGCTGTCCTCACCTTCTGGAAGACTAAAAGATCATGGAAGCCTCATGTCCTCTTTTAGTCCTCAGCTGGGGTGAGTTGAAAACTGAGTGGGGCAGACATTAAATCATGGAAAAAGTTCAAACACTCAATTTATCTATCTTCTATTGTCTGCAGTTGGGAATGGGGGAAAAATAACATTAAAAAAATAATAAAGGAGAAGAAGTAATCATTTGGGCTGTTTCTCTACAAAATGAAGGAAGCATAGTGTCAGAAGCAGAGGAATCTGGAGATAATAGAAGTATGGTTTTTCTCAATTTATTAAAACTTAAATTGCTCAATTACACTTATCATAATGTGCTTTTCAGAAATTCTTAGAATTAATTTTTTTGGTCTTAAAGTATGTCCCTAAAATTTCAATAATTAACCTAAAGTTAAATAAGAAATTTTAGAATTCAGTTGGAAAACCCAATTTGTTCTTTATTTGTCATCCTAAATCTGAGAAGCACTGATATGCCTATTGATGCTAATTAAAAAAGGTTAAGATTGGAGTTTCAATCTGTCAATTTAAAATATTTTATACAGAAATTGGTGCACATGTGGCAAGCCTGACCTGTTCAAATACTATTATTCCTAAATGAAACTATATGACCACAGACTTTTGGGGTTTTTTAAACCTTTCCTTGGGACAGAATTTTCTACTTCCTCTTTTTCTCTGCTAACAGTATAAGAAACCAGTTGTGCACAGTTTTGGTACCCTGGTCTTTCGGCTTTATGTACAGGCATTCTGGTTTCATTTCATCCTCTGACCCTTCTTGGGCAATGTAAAGATCATAATAGCTGCAGCAGTATTAATTCCCAGACCTAAAGTCATATACCCTTCATATACCCTTCACCCTCCAGTATAATTATTTTGTCAGCCAAATGTGGGAAGAGAGAAGGCCTTGATGCTGTGCAAGCACTGTTCAGCAATAGCTGAAACTGTTATCATCACTGGTTTAGCCACAAAGGTGCAAAACCCACCTATCTTCTGCGATGTTACCTCTGTCACAACATCCACCGGCATGCAGCAGAGGCTGGCACGGGACACTCCAGCAGATCCCCACACAGCAGCCACCCACGCCCACCCACCGGCTGCTCGTGCCCCGTGGAGCAGGCATGGCTTGCCCAAGAAAACTAACGCCCCAAGCACAACATCTTGGCTAAGGTGCCCAATACAAGATGGACGTGGACGTTCTTGGCAAGCCCAGCAAAGGGCCCCAAACATGATTAAGGGATTGGAGCATCTCTCATGAGGAGAGCCTGAGCAAGCTGGGGGTGTTCAGCCTTGAGAAGAGAAGGCTCAAGGGGGGAACGTCTCCATGTACATAAATACCTGATGGACAGGAGTACAGAGATTGAGACAGCCTCTTCTCAGCGGTATCTAGGGAAGGTACAAGAGACAATGGGCACAAATTAAATTCTATTTAAACATAAGAAAAATGCTTTTTTTTTTTCCATGAGGGTGATCAAACAGTGGAACAGGCTGCCCAGAGGAGTCACCATCCATGGAGGCATCCAGAACTCAGCAAAACTCTAGAACAGTCCTGGACAGCCTGTTGTAGATGAGCCTGCTTTGAGCAGGGGGTTGGACTAGACGGTTTCCAGACGGGCAACAATTCTGTGACTCTGAGAAATTTTCCTAACAGTAGTGTGATTAGGTAAGTGCCCATCCAGCTGTAGTGAAATTGTCCCTTGTTATCTATATTATGATCTTTGACTTTTTGAAAACATATGAGTATAAAAATAACTGTATTGCTACTGTTTGTTTCAATATTAGATTTATCTACATTAGAGCTCAGGTAGATGGTGAGTTTTGAAATTTATGCCAGGACAGCTGCCTATCTCACCTGAGTGTGCTGCTAGCTCAGCATCATCCGAGCAGAGTTGCCCCACCAGGTTGGTCAGTGGTGTGTCCTTTACCAATTCAAGGTGACAGTGCAGGAATTAGACTGTTTGCTTAAGCTAACTAGAATGGCATGATGGCAAATGGAAGAAAGTCGGAAAAATTAAAATGTCAGTGCCTCCTTCTCCTTGTTTTGAATACAGCTGGGCAGGGACAGCTGTGCTTTCCTGAATGCAAACACAGAAATGAGTTGCAGCGTGGTTAGTCAGCCGAGTAAAATCAAGGTCTGCAGGAGCAGATACTGCTCTTGGGGGACGTTTTCATTGAGCCACTAAGTCCAAAGGAGCACGCTGACATCTGAGCTTGTTTTCATTTGAAAAGAGATGTGTGGGTTACTGGACTATAGCTGTATGTGCAATCTTTGTCTGTACCCATTTGCTTTGCATAAATAAAACATGTTGAATAGGAGGTAGGTCTCCCCTGGTTTGCTCCTGGCTTTTGAATGGTGTATTTGTGCCACCTAGTGGGCCCGTGTCTTTTCTAGCGATCCTGGCACACTTAGCAGGTTGGGGTTCCTCTGTAGAAATTCTAGACACATCTAATACACTCAAAGTGAAATAATTGCTAATAAAGCCATGTGTTCCTGAAACTTAGCCATCAGTTTGTGACTTCATTGCTTTCCAGAAATTGTTGGTTCTTTAAAAAAAAAAAAAAAAATCTCATTTTAGCTTATTTTCTCCTCCAGGAAAGTGAAAAGATCAACCTTTGTCAAGAAAGGTCTGATGTAATTAAGCAATTTGACCAATCTGAAGGAATTGGCAAAGGCTAGATTCACCTATTTTCTTGTGGCTACTTGTGAAGTTTTCTATCTGTACCATCCAGTTCTACTGCCTGAAAATGTGTGAGTGCTGTGATAGCAGCAAAGCAAAACCCCTGAATCTTTCAGAGGAGTGCTGCAAAATTCAGCTCTGGTAATTGAGGTGGTTTGTAGCTGTATATTTTGGATATTGCTAGTGTAAATATAGCAGTCAATATACTTAACAGCCATTTAAATACTAGGTCTGAGCTTCATTTCTGAGTTCCTTGTGCCCTGTATACTATAGTTTTAGTTGTGAGGGGACTGAAAAGCAAACAGACAGCACCTCTCACAGCTTGAATGACTGGTCATCTCTAGAACACTGCAGGTGATGAAGTGATTTCTAGCAATTAATATTTATTCTGGGGTGATATAGCTAGTTTTTTTTGCACAAAGATCACTTCTGACTTGGGAATTCACTGGGCTGCAAATCACTAAGGAGTGGGAGAGTATCAGCAAATGCTTGCCTAAACGGACGTTCTTTGTTTAAGATTTCTAGTATTGGGCACAGAGAGAGAAAAAAAAAATGTGTGAGATGGTTTTTTGGTCTGACCCAGCATGGGTGTTATTTTTCTGTAAGACCCAGTTCCCTTTAAGAATAGCAGAACTTCCTTCTGGGCCTAAAATTTGAGGAGCAGGCAGGATCCAGAGCTGTAGGGCCTTTTTGTGCAGGGAGCATCTGAATCTGGAGAGCTGGCTGGCAAAAGGCACCTTCTTTCTCAGCAGGGGAAGACCATGAATCACATCATCAATTTTGGTTCAAAAAGTGGCAGAGACTGGATGGAAGTAAGTGCATCATCTGATTTTGTTGAGGTCTCCTTGGGACACTCAGGAAACCAGTGTCCAGCACTGGTGAAGTCTTGGTGTAGATTGGAAGAGTGGGGCTCCAGAAAAGCTGATACAAAGTCCGGATTTAAGGACGTGGGAAAGAAGGGAGGCTGTTTTCTGCACCGCTGTGTTGGGGAACAGCTGATTTTTGGCCTGTTTCTTGTAGTTCCTCCCATGTTTTCATAGATGCAGGGGATAAACGTTTGTGCGGTTGTAGCACTGGCTTCAGACTTTTGGTCTTGCTGTGAGATGACAACGAGCTGGGGTTGGGAGCCGGGGTGCTGCCAGGGCTGCAGGTCTCGCCCGCTTGGACAGCGGGATCTCGCTGAATCCGGATAAACGCAGCTCTGCCCCTTCCTTCCCAACAAAAGGAGCCGAACACTGGTGGTTCGAGGGCGAAGGCAGGGATCCGGGAGGGATCGGGGCGGGGGCCGGGCGGGGGCGCGGCGCTGCCATGGGGCGGCATCCGACGGGCTGGGCTGGGCGGCGGCGGCTGCGGCAGCGCCCAGCGGCTCTTCCCTGCCGGCAGCGCGGAGAGGGAGAGCAAGTCTTGGGGAGGGCCCTGCCGTCCGTCCGTCCGTCCGTTCGGCCCCGCTCAACCGCCGCTGCCGTGCCGGTAGCGGCAGGGAGGGTCTTGGCCCCGGCGCAGCCCTCGGCGGGCCGCGGTTGCGGTTGCGGTGCGGGGCCGCCCGCTGCCGTGTGGCGGCTGGCCGGCAGCTTTTGTGTGGCCGGGGGCGGGCGGCGGCGGAGCGGGACGCGAGTGGCACAGCGCGGAGAACGGCACCCGCGAGTGAGTAGTCACCCAGCGCCTTTGTTCGCGGGCAGGTGTACGGGAGGCGAGCGGGCGACGGGCGGAAGGTGCCGCTTCGTCGCTGCCGGGGAGTTCAATGGCCGGGCTGGCTCTTCCCAATCAATCCCTCCAGCCTCTCCTTTGTTAGCACCTTCCCGGAGAGTCCCGTATTCTTTCGGCTTTGCTGTCAGAAAGATGACTTTGTCTCACACGATGCTTCTCCAGAGCAGCGTTGCTTTGTTTAAGCTCCCCTAAGCCATTTGTCATAGAACTGCCATCGCGTTTTAACGAGCTATGAAATCTGCTGCTTTTCACGGTTGAAAGGCGGTGGTACGGCGTTTCTGGTTCTTACCCTTTCCTTAAGAACTGGAGCAGGTAAGCTAGAGGTAATGTTATTTTGCATGGGAAATTGTTGTCTTGCACAATCTCTTCAGTTAGACAAATGCCTATTTTAGAGATAGAAATATGTGTAACAAATCGTTTCTATGTCACTAAGAGATTTTTAATGAGTGAGGGGTTTGGGTATTTTAATTATTTTTGCTGGTATTACCGTGAGCTTATCTGCTTCTCTGTAGTTGTAGCACGCCAACCAGTAGTATGCCTCCACTCTTGTCATTTTAAGTGTAAAAATGCCCAGTTAAAAACACAGTTCAAGGGGTAAATAGAGACCTGGAAACCACAACTGCGCATCCTGAAAATTTAATATGCCTGACAATAACGGCACTGAAAGTGATCTGCTGTTGGGGGGATGGGGGATGGGGGCACAGAGAAAGGGAAGAGCAATTTGTAACCACAGGCCTAATAACAGATATTCTGTCAATAATAGATATACAGGTGATATAATTAATTACACTCCCAAACAGATTTTCTGTACATACCTTAGATGGTGTATAGCAATTGTATGAGAAGAGCTGCTTCCTTAGAATCTGAGCTATTCAAGCTACCCAACAGCAGTAACATATAGGAGGTCCTATATTTTAGACAGAATAAGGATGATAAATTGGAGTAAGGACTGACTTTTATTTGGTATTTAGTAATGCACACTCAAGAAATGCCCATCGCTGAGATAATTCTAATTGCACCTTGCAGAGACAATTAAGTCTTTTAACTATATCAAAACATTAATCGGTGGGCATAAATGTTATGGTGAGTTTCTTCAACAAAGCCATTGATATTTTTTAATGCAGGCAGTAGTTAGCAGTTGTGCACATAACTTACTTTATGTGGTTTGAATCCAGGTCAGGAATTCATCAAATTGACAAATCCAACTCTTCCTTGGCTGTTACCAATTTATCAGATTAGAGGTGGTGTTTTGTTTTGAATATTTCATTGCAACAATGAGCTTGAATGTAACACTGTGAAGTGTATAGAAACTTTATATGAAAGTGATTTGTATATTTATTTATGCCCCAGTTTGATGATAATAACAAGAATTACCTTGAAACTTCTATTAATAAATACAGCACGTAGCGAAGAGACTGCTGTTGGTAGTTATTGGGTCTTTTTTCTCCAATAAGAAAATGTATCTCAGAGCATCTGGTTCTAAAATGAAGGACCCTTTTCAAGTATCCATTTGGGCAATCCTGCATTTCAGAGATAATTGCTTCACACTCATGAGCAATGATTATTTATTTTTTCCTATATGCTGTATAATGAGATTTTTAGAAGTGCACTCATAGCAAACACAGTTGGTGTAAAGTATGAATGTCTTGCCAGGTTCTATGTGAAGACATCGACTTTTTTATATCTTTTATATATATATACACATATATATATACACATATACATATATATATATATATTTGTTCCTTATACGTCTTATTTTGGTCTGTTGTCTTGTGAGGTTATGTAGTAGCAGTGGTGAATTAGTAATGTATTAGGTAAAATCTTTTTTTTAACATCTGGTTCCTGAAAACTTAAACAAAATATATTTACTTTTAAAAGGGACCGTTACTTTGGCAATAATATTTCATTTTAATTGCAGATATTAAAAAGCAACCTTTTTAGTTTCAAGTTTCTGATTACAGAAATAAGAATAACTTCTGTGGTTTCTTCTGCTTTGTTTCTTAGTCACTCTGAGTACTGTCTTGACAGGTATCTCAGTCACTGAAAACTGATATATCCATGTGAGTAATGTAGCTTAGGGTTATTTCAATATATTCCTACTGCAGATGTGTCAGGTAAGCTCTTTTCTAAATAAGAAATACATGGCATAATAAGCGTTGACTGAAATGTGATGATGAATTTATGAATATGAATATATTTGGTTGTTGTTTTACAATGAAGTCTAACATAAACAGAATTTTTATATAGACAGCATAAGCTGAATTGACCGTGTTTTGACTTTTTTTCCTCATAAGCCAAGAGAAGAAAAATTTTTTTTTTTTTTTTTTCATATTCCGAATTATTTATATTTGAAAATCACTGACTCTGATTTTTCGGAGAGAATTTTTTTTTTCCTCACACAAAACCAACGCACAGTCTTTATTCCATTAAGGCCCAAATAAGAGAGTTATAGCAAATATGGATAAGTCTACTACTGGTATGTTAGAAAAGTACAGCTGATTTCTTTATAGTCAACAGACTCAGGGCAATGTAGTTGCATAATAGCTTCCATCAGTGTGATATAAATGTTGAGATGCTCTAAACACTCGTATCTTGTCATTGATCCCATGTATTTGAATAAGATTAAGTTGTATGAAGTGCACGCTAGAGTAGAATTCATTGGTTTTGAAGAATGTGATAGAAGGCAACCTAACGTTACAGTGTTAACTTTCATTACAGTAGAGCTTCCACTGGAGGGGCCAAATTCTATTTTTTGATCTACTATTTAAATCAGTTAGTGATGGATAAAAAGTGTGTTTGTTTCCATGGAGACTCTGTGAGCTCTGTCTTTAGGAAACAATGAGTTGTTGTGTAGATCTTACACTTATTGTTTCCCATCACTTCCTGAAGGGACTTTCACTCCTTTTGATTCTCTGCATTGCATGTCACACGATTTCTTTGATTAAGAACTAAAATACATTTTGTCAGAAGCATACAGCATTTACCCTTACCTTACATTCAGCATTTACACTTATACTAATTAAGTCTTACAAAGAAATAAAATTGACTTGTAACAAATAATTTTCAATTACTACTGTTCAAGAGCCAGTGTGTCACACGGGGTGAATCACAGTGATTTGTTAATTAAGTTTGGTGGGGAGAAAAATGTAAAGATCTTGCTACATGTTATCCTGGGTAAGTGGCTTGTGCTGCAGTTGTGCAATACAGTAAGTGAAGATGATTCAGATGCTACTATAATTGTATAAAGTATATCAATATACTTTTAGACATAGTTCAGTTTTTCCTTTGTATATGCATTCTGCGTGCCAAATTACAGAAATACAAGTTTCATGCTTCTACCAAGGCATTTAAGAAAATACGGTCATATTCAGCTGATTTTTGTTCATGGGGCTGAGTGATGTAGCTAGGTAAGGGTAGTTATAACTCTTCCATTGACTACCTTCATCTATGATAACCAACACATATAGTCAAATCAGTTAAGTCAAATATTTCACATCTCAATGATGCTTTGACATGGTTAAGCTTACCATTTTAATGCTAACACGCATGCAAGCTTTATTTTCTTCAGGTTTGTTGCCCTGAGAAAAACAGTGTGACAGTGATCCAAATAAGCAAAAGCTTTCCTTGCATTTCAGTGTTTGGGTGTGCAAAATGCCATGAGCATTGCTGACCTGCTTGAACATCTCTATCGCTACTCAGCACGATTTGAACGTCATCAGTAAGGCTTGGGCAGCTTCATAAAGCAGCTCAATCTTGTGATTTGTGGTGAGGCTTCTGTAGGAGGACACTGCATTTAAGAGATTACATTTATTGTTAAGTTGAAATGTGGAGGGGGTGTGATGAAGAGAATTAAAGTGAACTGAACAGTACGAAATACTGACTTTCATGTTGCTCTTCAAAGAAAGTTGTTTTTCTTCAAAGTAACATGCTGTCTTTCTCTCTGGCTTTTAATAAAAACACACTTGAAACTTTAGCACACTAAACAAAACAAAACAAACAAACAAAAAAAACAAACCAAAAAACCAAACGAACCAAAAAGATACAAATATAGTGATCTGTGGAACAGTTTGGCACAGAAGAGAAAAACAGTGATAGAAACCCGTATGAATCCATAGTATCTGTGTATATCTGTTGGTGCACATATATATAGTTGGGTTGAGTGGCACCATCTGCCAACAAAAGCGAACTGTCTTCTCCACTGTAAAACCTCTTTTCTGTTGCATATAACTTCGCCAATTTTTAACCATGTGGGCTGTAGTTCATCACATGTCTTTATGACTCAGGCTAATTTTTATTTCAAATCAGCCAGATGATTAATGGAGAATTATACTAATTGTTTTGCCTTGTTAAAGAAATAATATAAATCCTAAGATCTTTTGGAAACATGGTATTGTCACTCTGGTTTGTATCTAGGCTCCAGATCCTGCTAAGGCAGTGTCCTGTTCTCAAAGTTCCGCATTTTTACTGTCTTCATGAAAACCTGCCCAAATTTTCTGTCTTATGTCTTCAGAATATTGTAGTTTTTACACATTCACCTCTGAAAACTTTAGCAAATAAAATGAGAGATTGTATGTTTATTCAGCACCCCGTACTACAGAGTATTTTTGGTGGTGACCTCAGTGGAGCTTGCTACATCTGCAGTTGACATCTAATCAGAGAGGGACTATGAATATACTGGAGAGGGAATGAAAATTAAATTATTCAACAGGACAAAGATATTGTAGTTATAACTGTATAAGGAAGGGATTGAGTGGTAATTCTTTAGAAGAGCTGTGGTTTATGATAGATTACTTGAGGAGTTGCTGCAATAGACAAACATCGTATTGTGATACATAGATAGGACACCAGCATGGAAGACGTGAGGAGTGGTAGTCCTCCTCAACTGTAGCACCATATCCTGTTGGGGTGCTCACTTCAAAAAAGGTGTGGATGAATTGGAGACAATCCAGGAGAGAAATGAAAATAATTAAAGATATAGAAAATATGGCCTATGAAGGAAGGTTGAAAGTTCTGGGGTTGTTTCAGCTCCAATGAAAGAAGAGTGGCAGGGTGAACATGACATAACTTTCAGATGTCACAAAGCTGTTGTGAAGCAGTGTTCTTCACACCTGTGCTCTACCAGATGATATGTTATGGGTTCAGCATGAATGAAACTGAAGCAATGGAACAGATCATTGAATTGGGATTTTTAGGATTTTAGCATCATTAAAAGTTGTTTGAATATTAACCAGGAACAACATAAATATAGTTGAATTCCTTCTGGAGCAGTGCGGTGGAATGGATTACTCTCTGAGATCTCTTCTAGCTTTATGAATCCTCA